TATAATGTACATAGTGACCATGTTATACTGATAATAATACATAAAGCAACTAAGAGTATACATGTAAACATAAGAAAGTGGATCAATGAGATCTCATTATAATAAATAGTAAGATCTTATTATCCACTCTTGATTAAATATACACGGTCTGTCTAATTATACATAATATGTACGTACATACATGTATATGTTTATGCATGTTATATATAAACATATACATATACATTTACAGTCACATACAAATATATTCCGTGCTTGTGTGATATATTTCGTAATAGTGTAGAGGAGATTGACGCCATGCTGCCAATCGTCCGTGAGAGACAAACATATACATGTATATAATACAGGAAAAGCGTGCGTGCACTTGATAGCGTTTCTACGCATACATCATATATATACAATCATATATATATGTGTATATATATATATATATTTATTTATTTATTTATTTATATTTATTTATTTATTTATTTTCATCTACGCGGAATGTTCATTCGCTAATTAAATCCACGAGGCCAATCAACAGCGCGGAACCGCGCATGCGCACGCGCCGCGCTACGAACGACGCGAATCTCGCATCGCTAACGAAGTACGATGACGTAATTCGCGTGACGTCATTCGCGTGACGTCATCCACGCTGTACCGACGCGATCGTCACCGCCGCCACCGCTGCGGGGCGCCACTAAAATCATCACCGCCTATCGACTTAGAGAAACAGGAAGAGGAACCGGAAGCTGCTACCTGCGCGGGCGGGCGGACGGACGGACATCCGCTCGCGCGCTCACTGGTTGTAGGGCCGCGTCGTCTGCCCGTAGTACTGATTCACGCCGGCGGCGGAGCCAGCAGCGTATCCGGCATGCAGCGTGTTGGCCGAGCCGGCGGCCGTGAACGTCGGCATCGCCTGCAGCAGCCCCATCTGTTGGCCGACCGTGGAAACAGGCCGCAGGAGGGTGGCGCTCGCGCGCGGGTAATAGAGACTCGATGGCGTGTACGAGCAGAAGGAGTTGTTGCCGAAACTCTGGTTCATGCACTGACTCTCCTGCCCGCCGCCAGGATACGCTATCGTCGCCGACCGGTTGACGTCGCCGCTGCCGACGATTCCGTGACGACACTCGGCCTCAATGGCGTTGGCCGTCGCCTGGGCCGACGTCAGCGACGACAGGCTGAGCGTCGGCGACGCTTCCGACATGAGAGGAGACTCTGATTTGATGTCGATGTCGCACGACTTGAGACGTTTGATGTCGTCTGCAAAAATAGAAAAGGCGGGAATGTGTCACGAGAGAGCAAGCAGACGAGAGAGAGAGAGAGATGAGGAAAGGGGGAGAGGGAGAGGGGCAGAGAGAAAGAGGAGCGCAAGAGAGAGGGGGAAAGAGCGCGACGGCGAAAGAAAAATAGTAGAGATAAATAGCGGGCGAAAGAAAGAAAGAGAGAGACAGAGAGAGAGAGAGAGAGTGTGTGTGTGTAACAGCGCGAATAGAGAGAGCGAGATAGTGATAGAGAGTGGGAGGGAGAGACAGAGCGCGCGCGAGAGAGAAAGAGAGAGAGAGAGCGAGATAGTGATAGAGAGTGGGAGGGAGAGACAGAGCGCGCGCGAGAGAGAAAGAGAGAGAGAGAGCGAGGGAGAGAG